TAAAGGAGTATATGGATAGGGGAAACAATGAAAAGGAAGCTATGGAAAAGGCTGAGAAGAAACTTGTACGAAATGATAAGGAAAGATTTATGAAGCACTATAAGAAGGTCTTAAAACAAGTTTTCGGTTTAGCAGACAATGCATTACACAGAAATATTGTAGATGCAGTGAATGATATGTTGATGAGAGGTGTCTCTAGAGATCTTGCAATCAAAAAGGCACTTGTGAATAATGAACATAAGTTTAATGAGCTATTCATAGAAGATACAGATGATGATGAAAGCAATTCTGAAGCAAAGTCTACTGATGATGAAGAGCAATCTTATAATAATGATGAAAGCAATTCTGATGAAGAATCTACTGATGAAGAGCAATCTTATAATAATGATGAAAGCAATTCTGATGAAGAATCTACTGATGAAGAGCAATCTTATTATAATGATGAAAGCAATTCCGAAAGTAATAGTACTGATATGACCAGCATTTAACATGTAAAGAAACTTATGACATAAATATAAGAGTAAATGTACATTATAAAACAAAGTGTTATGTCATTGTTTTGTTATTTATGTTACAAAAGAAACCTTGTGCTTCAAAAAAATGTGATCACCATCACTCTACGAAAACACAGAGATCATAATATGTGCATCCTTTCTTATTCAATTCATTTCTTATCCATCTAAGATGAAAGTCTCACCTATGCATCGTTTCTTATTGAGTAGTAAAATAAACAAATTATTCTATGTTGTATCAAGGAACAACTTTTATTAATTTCCAAACTACACGATTCTCATATATGAGAGTATGTGTACAATATGTTGTAATTATATTTAAAATACAATTGTGTAGGTAGAACTTATCAAACAGATGTAAATATTATAGAACAGTTTAATTTAACGTTGTATTGATATTATATTGCAACTAGACAACAGCAACGCCAAAGCGTAGCAAATCCCATCGAACAGCCATGGCTGCCATTTTTACAAAATCCTTCTACTACTTTTTCAGTTATAGCAAGAATCGTACATAAACACACATAAAAATGGCTACCATTTTCAAAATGCTCGCTAAGTTGCCAAATTGTCAAAAGGACAATTGCTTCTAGAAAGGCACATATAAAATTTCAACAAAATCGCACGCATGTACATGTAAATGGCCATTTTGAAAAATTGCCTCCTACTAGCCGAAGTGTCATAAGATATTGTGCCATGCTTATGAGTATTCACATATCAAATATGAACAAAATTGCTCTATTACTTTTCGTGTTATAGTAAAAAACTTAAAATAAAACACGTAAAAATGGTGGCCAAAAACCCCAAAACCAAAGTGTCAATAGACAGGGTGCCATGCTTATAGTATTCACATATCAAATATGAACAAAATCGCTCCACTACTTTTCAAGTTATGGGGAAAAAACGTAAAATAACACACGTAAAAATGGCGGCCATTTTTCAAAATGGCCACCTACTACCCAAAGTATCATTAGACAGTGTGCCATGCTTATGAGTATTCAAATATCAAATATGAACACAATCGCTCCACTACTTTTCAAGTTACAGCAAAAATCGTAAATAGCGTGTAAGGGCCGCCATTTTACAAGTTGGCTGCCGTGTGTTTCTTAAATATCTACATTTCTAGCTTTATTATGTCCTTTATAACTTCTTTACATTTAAAACACATTGCTATTACAGTTTTATATATTGTACCTAAATTACTGTAAAATCGGCATTGAAATGGCCGCCATTTTGAAACGAGTGGCCATTTTGAAAATCGGCTTTCGAGTAGAACCTCTACCGCCATATTTGTACAAAATATGAACAAAATCGGGCCAACGGTATTTGAGTTATCACCCGGACGGACGGACAGACGGACGGACTGACGTATGGAAGGATGTATGGACGGACGTACGGACGGACGGACGGACGGAACTTCGTTCGATGGGATAATAATTGAATCATTTATTAAAAATTGAATACAAAATAACAATAGACAGAGAAATGTTTTGTGTGATTTCCCATTGATGTAATTATGTTGCCTGCAATGAATGCTTTAGCTAGTACAACACAATTTAAAGATAAAAAGTGTATCTAATTGTCAAGCAGGTTATCACATGGAGAGAGATATTGGCACACGTTACAAGCCCACATACCCTCCTGGTTCATATGATCACCATGTAACGTGGCTATACAATTCATGTCCTCTATAGCTAAGGGAGGAATAAGACTGTGTATGTTTTTCAATACATCCTCCATCTCCTCGAAATTGAGGTACACTGACCAAAGTTGGGTAAATTTTTGTTTTACCCGGTCGTGGTAAGTCGCTGTTACTTCGAAAAGGTTTATATCAGAATGCACTTTGAACTCGTATCCCAGTCCTAGGTGATGCGGTGCATTCAAAGGTGTAGCCAGTGCCTGGTTTGGAATGGCCAAATCATCTTGAATGGCACGCATATACTCCCGAATTCCTCTTTCTGTGCAGCAGGTGATCATGTAGTCAAACTCCTGTCGAGGTAGTCGTGCAAACTTCGAGCTGTAAGGCATACAGCCTACCCGCTTCACCTTGTTCACAACGATAAGTTTAAGTTTAAATGTTCGAATTACAACGTGATCTCCCTGCGTGTATATGAATATTTCCCGCAAGCAGGAGCGGTTCGAAATCTTGAGCATTTGTGGTCATTCAGGTTGAATCGGATTGACGATACATCCAGATGGACGCGCTGCATCTTCCAAAGTCAGATGAAAGTGTACTACACCATCTAGCGTCATTGGATGAGGGGGTATATCAAGCTTCAAGTCTCTCCGACAGCTAGGTTGAGCAGGTATACCTAGCGTCAACTCTCTCTGAAAGCTAACCATGCGTTTCTTAAATGGTGCTGGTGGTGGTGTTGATCTTATGTTTTTTGTGTCGCTATTCGGCGTTAGTTCGGGAGAGGCGCTCACCGAATTAACATCCTCAATGATGATGCATTTTGTCGTTGCATTCCACACTGTTTCAATTATTGCTGGAGATGACATTTTGTACTGCAATTGTTGAACATTACAAATTAGTAAAGTTCAGAGTCTATATATGAGACTTATCAAGATGTGATGCAACATGTGTTGTCATCCCGCAGATGGATGGTTTCTTCATATCTTATCAAAGTGTGATAATGTTAGCTCACCAACCCTCAGTAGTTATCATATTTTAGGAATCGCAAAGCAACTCAATGTCATTACAGTTAAGAATTTTCCCAACCAGCCAAAAGTTAAGTTCCACAAAGGTATCTCGAAGTCTAAAGCTTTGAAAAGCTCAGTTTTAAGGTGGCACAAAGGTGTTTCACAAAGTATTTCATGAACACAAGCTGAATGTTCATGGATGCATAGTGCATCTCAATGAAGCAACAACTTGAGGTCTTGCAAGGATGATTATGTAATGATTGATAATGTACTTACCCTTCCAATGTCTTATCGTATTTGATATAATACAAAGATATCTTGAAAGTACCTAAATTTTAAGATATCACCGAAAAGTCTCTCAAACCAACTCAGTTTTTAAGGTTTCATTTCAATAATTGTATGAGTTCTTAATATGACGTCGCAGTTTTAAGATTCCCTGACTTATCCCTGCTTTAAGGTTTCACAAAGGTATCTCAGAGATATCTCAATGTTAAGACTCTCTACAAAGCATTTCAATTAAATAAGGATACCGTTATGCGTCTCAAATTGAAGCTACCACAAACCTCAGGTTATCACTATGGTTACTACAAAAGCAAGCATCTCATCATTAGTAAAAATGTTATTAACCCCTGGCATCTCATTCCTGGTATCTCACTTTAGGCACCGCAAAGTAGTCTCAGCATCTCATTTCTGGCATCGCATTTTTAGACACCGCAAAGTAATCCCGTGCCTCCTTAACATACACTACTAATGTTAACAAAATAAAACTATTTGAATTTCAAATGATCTCAAAAATAGTAAGGCAATGAAAGTTTATCTTCATATTCCAGGTGTTTATCATGTACTGTCGTGTAACTGTTATATACTTTGTTGTTACCGGTCTTCCTGAATCAAAAATTATATTCATACTAAAAAAGTGAACATTTTTTTCATTGAAAGTCTTATATTTTGTTTATGACTTTTTTTATGAGGCATGAAACATGTTACTAGTATGTTAAAGCTCTTTTTAACCTCATCTGTCAGACATATTTTAGGCGTCCATGTTTCTGTTATAATGTAGCAGCCCTCCATCTTTAGCATTTTCCTTATTGGTCTTAATTTTGCCCCTTAGTCATTCTACAAGGATTATTATTACATATCAGAGTGATGTGCCAATATTTACAGTTATACGAACAAACACGTGAAAAGAGAACCAAAATTAGTGATTATTGGTATTATCCACCTGGTCGTGGTCATTTTAAATCTGAGACCAATTGTGCCTTAATTGTATCCTATAGGCCTAGATATTACGAAGAACACTTTATTACAAACTATATATTATATTGACACTGCTACTTTTGGATTTAATCGTGATAAACATACTTCCACCTGGTGTGCTGTTTATTAAAAACTCAATATGAGATGAGACTATTATCTGTAGAAATTAATCATGAAAGCAGTATGATTGCATTTTACTTAACTCGTCAGGGACTGATCATTGCGATATGGGATCCAGTCAAGATTTGGGATATTGTTTTAATATTGAGGGTTAGAATAAAAGGCATTGATAATATGAATTTTTGAATGCATTTTGGATAGTTGGAATAGCCTAAATCTGTGTCCATATATATCTACCAGTTATAGTTTTTCTTTTGGTTATCGTTGGTTGATATTTTTTGTGGGAGTTTTTTATTCAGAAATTGATGACCCATCCCAATGTGTAAATTCTTAATCTTCTTTACAAGTCTTGACATAATAATTGTCACATTCAGATATTAAATGCCTATATGGTACATGTCATGAGCTGATAACCAACATGTACAAGTAAAATACAGATTTCTTGATTCGACAAAATTCTATTTTCAGATTTACCATGGATATTGTACTTGGAGTCGCGGATCATTACCTACTAACGCCTTATGTCTACCCAGAATCCTTTGCAGAGACAAGCATGGTGCGTCAGTTTGTGACACTTCTGTTGATTACAAACATAGGGGGCGCTGTGTTATATCTTTCGACAGCTACATTCAGCTATTTTGCCATATTTGATCATAAACTGATGGAGCATCCTCAGATATTACAGGTATGTATCATGACCTTATAAGGAGTTTCTTGGGGCAGTGGCGAGGGGGCAGGGTTGAAATCTGAAATCTGTTTTATAGGGAGGGTACCATCTAACGATTCTAATAATATCAAACAAAACAAGCATGCCAATGAGCACACTAGGTGTGGTTACCCTTTTTTCAGGGGGGAGGTGGTTCTTCCCTCTTCATATGGCCTTAAGAATGGATATATTTGAAATGATGCCAAAGGGAAGAAAAGCTTTGAAAACTTGTTTTATTTTACTTTTGTACATCATCAACATGTTTTTTTTCCTATTTTTGTTTCCAAGATTTTTAGGTTTTCTGAAAACATTTGGTCAAGTTTCCAATGATATGTTTGTTGGAATATAATTGTAACTGTTGACCCCTAGAAAGGTTAATAATTTCATACTGTGCTCTCATGATTTGTATCATGTAGTTCTATTGTTATGATTTGATTTTTTGCTTCAGAATCAAGTCCAAAAGGAAATCTTCTATGCCCTGAAGTCCATTCCCTTCATGAGTCTGCCCACTGTACTGTTGTTTCTACTGGAGGTTAGAGGTTATTCAAGGCTCTATGACAATGCAGCCGAGACTAAACTAGGTGAGTTTGAACTTGTGAGCGAAAACACTGTGTGTTTAATATAAAATTTTTGAAAGTAGGCCTAGTAGGAATGACAAGCAATCCTAAGAAAATTACATGTTATATTATGAAATTCACACATATTAGCTTGGCAAGGTGTGTTCGATTCCAGTCAATCTAAACACAGTATTTCATATAACTGCAGTGCATTATATTACCAATCATCGCATCCAAGGCCACTCCTTATGTGGTTCTAAAGGTGACAACTTGACTACAGATTGAAGTTGATGCCATCTTGACCTTTGCAAAAAGTTTCATTGAAAATATGTTCTTTTAGTGATTTTGTATCTTCTAAGTGACATGGAAGAGAATATTTTGCAATGTGTGAAAAGAATTTAAGCTTAAGACTCAATGCATTGTGGAATGACCATTCCTTATTGGCATTGTTTTCTAAAATTAACACTCGATGCTGCATATCTCGGTCAAATTCTGGATAACAACACCTTTGAGGAATGGTCATTCCACATTGCAGGCCAGAGTCCACTGGCTTAAATCCTTAAATCTAGTCATAAAACAAATTGGTGAGGGTCCTATTTTGAGCAAAATAGAGAATCTTATTTGATAATTGCCATCTATTTATATACTAGTATGTCCCGTCCAAGGCGAGTAGAATGCCCTTTACAAATCTTTATAATCGATATTCAGTATAGTATAATATCAGGAAAAAGATAATCACCAATTAAATAAACAAAGATCGTAAAACTGAATTCAAATTTTGTGATCTTTGTGTTCTGATCTTATTCCAGGGTCATTTGGAGTTGTCCTCAGCATCCCTTTGTTCATCCTTTTCACTGATGCTCTCATCTACTGGATTCATAGATTCCTTCACCACAAGACCGTTTATAAATACATTCACAAAGATCACCATAGATGGAAGGTTCCCACTCCTTTTGCCAGCCACGCATTCCACCCTGCAGATGGATTCCTACAATCTTGCCCGTATCACATCTACCCATTTTTGTTCCCATTGCATAAATACACGTATCTCGCTCTATTTGTGTTTGTCAATATTTGGACTGTATCAATACATGATGGTGATTATCGAGTACCTGATACACTGAAACCTTTCATAAATGGTTCTGCACATCATACGGATCACCATCTTTACTATAACTATAATTACGGACAGTTCTTCACCCTGTGGGACAGGATTGGGGGGTCTTTTAGGAACCCTAGTGCGTGGGAAGGGGACAGTCTTTTGAACCAGGTTCTGAAAGGAAGCAAACTTGACAAGAAAAATGTAAAAGAAGATTAGATTCAGAAAATATTGTCATAACATAGTTTATGAAAGGAAAGTCATTGTATGATATAAGAGCAGTTAGCATAAACTGTACATGCCATTAATGCCTGCTTGAAATTGGTTTATGTAAAAGATCAAAATTGAATACTTTTATTCCCAGCATTACTTATTAATTAAGTTTAAGCTCTGGTTCCCTTGTGGCCAGGTACTTTAGAAACCGTCATGATACCCTGATTGAGCTTAGCTGTATTATAGCTGAGGCACGGGGCTTTATATGTACATGTATTATTAGGTTTCTTTATGATCAGCTTGAGGCAGATTTATTATCGCTAATCTGAAGAGTATGTTGAAGTATAGATGGCGTAGGTTCAATAAGTAACCTTGTACATAGATTGGCTATGTAAGGTCTATCAGTCATTATATAATATATTTATTGAATTATTTACAATTCAATTATATCAATTTAGAACTGTGATTGTAGCTTTTAAGCATTATACCTAGTCTCAAGAAATTTTAAGAAACATTTATGATCCAAGAAAATTCAAAGAAAAAGGTAAGGAAAAATCTCACTAATTTGATCATAAAATTTTAAGTCAGACCTGTATATATATATATATAGAACATTATTATGTAGTAGGTTTTTTATTACATCAGTATCTTAATAATCATGATGTATTGAAATGTTTTGTGTTATTCTCATTATAGTTTTTGTGATCTTTTGTTACTGTGATTAATGTGATATGATTTGTGCCTATTTTAGTCTAAAGGGTGTAAATTTAATACTGCATAAGAGTCATTCAATGGCATTTTATTGAGACATTAATAACATGATGTTCAATTTGGTATGCTTTTGTGAGTATTTTTATTAGTCGCTAAGTTTACTGACGTGTATTGAGATATTTATAATATGATGTTCAATTATAGTTTACAAGTAATTTTTATTATGTTTCAATTTTAAAAAGGAGCCATAACCACATACAATTTGAATCATGAGTTTAATCTATAATGTGCTAATATCAACTTTTAAAAGGCAATTGATTCACTCAAATTGTGAGTTTTTCAAGCAGCAAAGTGGTTACAGGTTGTTTTGTTCGGAATTATATAGGCACATGCTCTATGTGATTACAAGTTCTGCTCTAAAGTTGATTCTCCAAATGATGGACCTTTTGGGAATTTACAGTATTTTTCTTACAACTTAAACAATTTATGTATTTTTAATGCCAAAGAATATTGATGTTGATTTTGTCCAAATTATAATAGTTTTAAGAAAATATGGTGGCAATTACAAGTTATATAATGCTTCTTGCTGTAACTCTAAAAATTATTATTAGTAGATCTTTTAAATATATGTAGTTAAAAGCAGGACATATTGCCCTTTTGACAATTTGGACAAAATGGCAATCATCTTGAAAAATGGCAGTCATATTTATTTTACTGCAACGGACTCCCATGTTACTCTCCCAAAAATCAACTAAGAACCAACTTTCCATATCAATGTATAGTAAGATCAGATGATATTTACAGAAATTAAAGCTTGGGTATTGAGTTTTTTTAAGCAAAGCAATAGAAATTGATCCCATTTAAATTATAACATTACATACAGGGTGCCATTATATGTATTTGACATGTCTTGCCAAAGCTTAATGTACTTTAAATGATCTGATGTTGGTAAACTTAAATCTCATTCCTGATCAAAATTTTGAATGGAAACTTTAAGTGATAAGAATCCCTGTTTTTCTGGACAGAATAATTAGGTGTGATAACTACATTGTTTACATTTAGTAAATCATTAGGTGAGCTTAGTGAAGTTTTGAAATCTCTCAAGTACAGAACTCATTAAAACTTGGTCAAAAATAGTTCAAATTAGAGATATGCCACTTAGTTGCCACTCTGGACCAACTGTGATAATATACCTTACTATAAGTTAAAGGTATATAATAAAGAATTGTACATGTATTTATTAAGATTTCATGTCAAACGTATTCCTATATACAGGGTGATCCAGAAGTAACGTCAAAGATGTTGTAATTTCAAAAGTATTCATCAGATCTTCATGAAATTTGGTATACATGTACCCAAAACATTTCTGAGTTACCATCTCAAAGATTGGAATTCAATCATTTCATTGGTTGAAATTATGGTTGGTATAGTAACCCGATATCGCGTAACCTGGGGCAAATTGAAGAGAAACCATAACGTTTTTGTGAATTTCTCTAATTTAAAAAGTCAGTAACATTTGAAAATGTTCATTGTTTGTTTTCTATGATTTTTATATTTGTTGCCATGGTAACAAATATGTAATAGTTGTGATGTCACAATAGGCATTCATAAAAAGCTTTCAATTTCTTTGAATTGCTTCCATCATCCATGACAAATACTAACATGACCAAGGACACTAACCCACCCAATTCAAGATGGCGCCAAGTCAGAGTAAAATAGAGCAAAGAACAAACATTAAGTTCTGTGTAAAGTTGGGGAAAGGTGTAAAAGAGACTATAAGACAGATAAAGAAGGCATATGGTAAAGCTGCCATTGCTGAGAGAAACATTTACAGGTGGTTTAACAAGTATTCCAGTGGATATGATGAAGTGGTAGACAAGCAGCGAGGAGGCAGGCCAGTGTCGTCATTCGATGATCAAACCATCAAAGCAATTGAAGCTGATGTTATGGACAATAGGCAAATTTCTATCAGAGAATTGGCTGAAAAACACGATCTGAGCTATGGGACTGTGCAACGGATACTGACAAAGAACTGTCTGTTAAAGAAGGTGTCTGCTAAATGGGTGCCGCATGACTTGACACAGGAGCAGAAAGACCGGCGTGTTAAGGCTTCAAGGGACTTTCTTGCAAAATATCGGAGAGATGGAGATGACTTTCTTAACAAGATCATTACGAGTGACGAATCATTGCTATCATTCTACATCCCAGAGACCACGCAACAAAGTTCATCGTGGAAACATGACAACTCCCCAACACCAACCAAGCCTAAAATAGTACCAGGAATTCCACAAAAGAAACAAATGGTTGTGACATTCTTTGACATTAGAGGAATGGTGTTAACCCATTTTGTTCCCATTGGCCAGAGAATTAATGCCGTTTACATTGCAAAGGTAAGATATCATTTGTTCTAATAATACATCATACTGTGAATTTTATTTTTAAATTAAAGTATTTAAATGTTGTTCACTGTCAATATAATTATGGCCATGATTCAAATCCAAATCCAATCAATGAAACAACTGGTTTAACAACCATTAAACATTTGTTTTTCAGGTTCTGAAGCGTGATCTTCAACGTTCCCTGAGGAAAAAGCGTCCCGGACATCTGCAGCAGTTTATCTTGCATTGGGACAATGCCCCTACGCACACTGCAATCCTGACCAGCAACACAGTCCAAACACTTGGATTTCAACAACTTGAACATGCCCCTTATTCACCTGATCTTGCCCCCAGTGACTTTTATTTGTATGGGGAACTAAAAAGAAACCTTAGTGGAAATAATTTTCAATCCTGTGAGGAATTGAAAAATGCCGTAGTACTAGCCCTACAAGGAATGAGTTCTAATGGATTTAATTCTGTGTTCAAGGAATGGGTATCCAGACATGAGAAATGTGTTGCAAATGGTGGCAATTATGTAGAATGAACTATTATTAGTAACTGTGCAATAGTATGATTTATATTGTTGTGAAATAAAATGTTGAGGATATAACAATTTCAGATCTTGTTGATATTTTGAGATTACGCATTACACGTTAAGTAATTTGCCCCGGGTTACGCGATATCGGGTTACTATAGCAACCATAATTTCAACCAATGAAATGATTGAATTCCAATCTTTGAGATGGTAACTCAGAAATGTTGTGGGTACATGTATACCAAATTTCATGAAGATCTGATGAATACTTTTGAAATTACAATGTCTTTGACGTTACTTCTGGATCACCCTGTACAATATAATAAAAACAAATAATGTACTGTAATCTATATTTTTGTTCATTTTATTTCATTTTTCTATGTGTTGATAAATTGACAATGTTGTATACATGAACAATAATTCATATGTTCATTGACATATGCGAAGAAAAAATTGACAGTTCATTTCTTGGGCCCAAGTTCAGTTGCGTAAGAAAACAACTGATAAAATTTAAGGAGTTCTGATAGCAACATAAGTCAACCATAGGTCTCATGGTCTAAGTTTTGAACTTCTGTTTTAAAATATTTTGTGTCTTGGCTAAACTCAATCATTGATAGTCTGATACATGAATTGTACAAAATGGACAATATTGTGAATTACACTGACGCAAACACTAAAGTAGTCTTATAGTCTCTGCCTCACATAGTAAGCCTATGGAATTCTTGCTTCTCTGACTGTCCATCCGTCCTTCAAAATTGCCATCATTTTGACTAAAATTGCTAAATCCCATTTAATGCAGTCTATACAGTCTATACTTAAATAAAGACAGATTTTATGATTTATGGCGCGTTATATATGACTGAAAATTTTATTCTGTCAATTGTTTAAAGACCGAAATCACGTAGCGTTGTTATGATTCTAATATGATAATAAACAGACAAGAAACGCAACTATTTGCATTTATGAATTTTAGCGGTCATACACACTCCAATAAAGACCAGTAAATCAATCGATCTAGCTATTGGGACGTCACGTCATATTAGAATGATAAATTACATTGGTACGAGCTCATTCTTATGCCTCATTTTTGTCAATGTTATCAGTCAAAATACAAAAAGTTACCTTGACACAATGGACTTTTTGACTGAAATCATTAGTCTTGTATCTTTTTGGGTGTCAGTCACAAGGGCTTGGAGAAGTATTAACTTTAAGGAACTCATATAAAAAGTATAACAATATTGATAAATCTGTTACTGTGTACCAAAACTTGAGGGTTACTAATGTTAAGTTAGAGGAATATCAATTTGAAATATCATTCGACCAGTTGGAACCCAGTTGTGATAACTCCCTAAGATTGTTTCATAGTGGGTGTGGTGTCTTGACTTGGAGTTCCTTAAATTAGTCTGTGTGCCCACTATCAATGATTACTTCATGGTTTCTCTTCAAATATTACATACTTTACAGCATGATGTTTCACTATCTCCAGGTACCTGCTCGAAAGCTGAGACCCTCTGAATTCCCATTAGCTTCTCCAATTAAAAAGCAATTATCCCAGTGAGGAAAGACCTGGTGAAAGACTACAATGGCATTGTTTTCATCGCTTTCTGGCATTGTCAGAGATTATGAGTCATAGACACAGCAAGAAAAACAGCAACTCCCGGGGTAGCAGATCCTAGAGAACAAAACATATTTTATCAAAACAATCATGATAACTGCATTTGAGTTATCGCCAGAACACACTGACCACTGGACAGATGAATGACTTTTCTATATCCTTTGAACTATACTTGAACTGTATTCAGTGGGATAATTATCGTTAATATTTGTTTTAATATTCTGATTCACAACTAAGTTTTTATTCCACTGTCATATATCACACATTACACCCTTTTATTTGCTCTTGATGAAGGATATCAAAAACCAAAGTGTTGGGAACATTCACTTCCAAGAATAGGATCAGATACATAAATGTACAAGTGAGATTTTATTGGCAATTAGTATGGCATCATTTAGAGTCAACTTTTTTACAAAAGGTTGTAATATATTAGAGTGTAACTTTAACAATAACTTACATTACTGAAGGGTTTATAGGCACATATTTAAAGAATTCCATTTATAAATACCCATTACTGTAAAATATTGAAAGTTAATGACAATTACTCCAATTTGCCAATACTTGAGCGTAGGAGTGATTTATACAAAAAAAGTCATTATTTTTTGATAAATCCGAACACTGCAGAGTATGTGGGTGCAACTTGTTAATACTTTAAGTGAAGCTGTAAAAGACTCCACATTATGTCACTGGATCCCATTGTCACTTAAGGTCATGTCACTAAATACAATTTAGTGTTATATTCCGAAAGTCACTTAACTTGTAATTCCGTCCAGGAAATGTCAATAATTGCGAGTCCTCAGCAGACCATTCAAATTCCCTAAAGATTAACCAATAACAAATGTCATTTAAATCCTAATTTCTTCTTCTCTTTTTCTTTCTTCTTAACCTGATCCAGTTGTCGGTCTTTCCATGTGCTTTTACGTAATTTGATTGGTCGATTGCCAACATATTTTCCTGAAAGTAAAAAACAGTTTTTTTTCTCATAGCTGAAAAACGCACATAAATATAGCAGTATTATGGCTCTAAGCTTAATCAAAATGGAATTGGAAACCCATTGTCTTACATTACTTAATAGAAACTGAAAATAAATCATTAAAGGTAGCCTAATATGTAAAGATAAGTAATTGTTTCATGAAAACCCCAATGGTTAAAATTAACACATTTTTACACTCCAAATCAGGTTATTGCTGTTCTCAATTGGGGATATTGTGACAGACTTTAGATTCCATTCGGGAACAAGTCATCAAAGTACACCTACGCAGAATTAGTTACTTTTGGGGATAGGGCATCTTGATCACAGTAGGGGGACAGGGTAAAAGTATATTTTTATTTCCTAAGCTTACTCTGAAGGAAACAACTTTTAATCTAAAAAATTCTGTTATATTACTAATGTTCAGTAATGATGTGTTTTTGAAGACAGGATTTTGCATAGGAAAATCTGAAATTGCTACCTTATCTTTACTTAACATGCCTCACAATTAAGCATTTCTATATTTTTATATCACAAAGAAACATCCTGAAAAAGCAATCAAATCGTCAGTTTGTTCACTCAGTATATCCAAGCAAACATAAACAATGCATTAACATGGTATTTCTGGTATACCCCAGAGGACCCGTCTTAGGCCAACCATCCCTGGCAATATTTATAAATGACCTTCAGGATGTGTCAAAAATAGACAGTATGACGAATTTTCACCACCTGATTGCAATTACAATATTCGTCCTATGTATACAGATCGGCCAAAATGAGAGCCCGTGAGAACAGACGCAACAAATCTTTCAGATTTCAAATGTATTCTAACCATTATTTTCTAGTCTGTTAAAACTTAGACTTTCTCATCCTAAAGTCTTAATAATATCGGCATTCTGAATATTTATTTCATGTTATCTATGAGGTAAAAATGAATGTTAACATGGGGCAAATGAAAGCCTAAGTATCAATGTTTATACAAAATTTTGAAGTTTTATTGTTTTTGATAAACGCCCAATGATTCTATCGCATTTTATCTTTACATCGTAAAATTAATTGCATAAAATAATAACTAGAAATCAATCTTACTAAGGCCCAGTAGACATTTTTAAATTTTTTTAGGTCATCTAAAAGTCAAATCTCAAGTTTTTACAAAACCGCTTTATGTAGCTGAAACATGTCCAAGTATTGGATAAATAAGGGTTATGTACTGAAGGTTTTGGATATGGGGTTTATCCAGAGTGAGATATGCATATCTACCTGAGGGACCGAAGGTAGATGTGCATATCTCACGAAGGATGAACCCTATATCCAAACCGACCGTACATAACTGCTTTATCCTATACCAAGTAGCGTTTTCTAATTTTCTTTCAATTTTTATTTTTATTTTTTCGAACATTTTTCTAATTTTTAAAAAAAAAAATTCAAATTTTTATAACATTCAACAGAGGGCATTTGAAGATTAGATGCTTTGTGGTTTGTTGTTTAAAACCACAGATGCATTTGGAACTGTCAATACCTTGAAAATTATGTTGGAAAAGATGACCAGTAAAAATGAAATCACATCTTGTTCTATTCAATAAAATTTCTTCTTTTCTTGTAAGATCCAGGTTTGTGGTTGTTAATTGCTTCGTTTTCCCTGAAAATTTACGTAAATTGGTTTTGAAAGTAACTCTTGATGGTGAACTTTTTAGATAATTTGGAATGGCTTCCCATTCACTTATGGCATTTATTATTATCTTACCAACTTATCTCCCTAAAACTTTACTTGGCATAGGATAAATAAAGGTTATGTATTGGGAGGTTTCCGATATGGGGTTTATCCGGATGGAGATATGCATATCTTAATTTTTGTTTCAAACTTTTTTCCAAATATTTTTAAATAATTTTTCCAAAACTTTGCTTTCAATTACCAGAGGTGAGAATTCAGTTCAATGTGCTTTGAGAAAATATAGGAAATAAGTGATAATCATTATGTGAATTATGTCCAATTTATTATTACCTCCTTGCAGAAGAGTCTCTTTGAGAGAAATAGACTATTAGACTCTCCAGGGGGTTTTCTACAAAAGGTCCTTCAAAAGCAACTTGAGAAAATAATTAACATTAATTTATAAAACGTTTACAATTAGAACAGAACATTAACTGTTATAAGTGGGGCAATCATATAACTCATAATAGCTTACATTTTTCATTAATGTTACTAAGTTACATCAAATTGGATTTGACATTTGTTGTAGCAATGTAAATGCTTCTATTGTTACAGAAAGTACGAGCACAGTAAATAGCGGTAATGATATTGGATGGCAACAACCAGTAATTGTGATGTCTTTTATTTAAGATAATAAATTAAAAATCGATGCGTGGGTGGCTGGAGTCCAGTTGGTTCATACTAGGATACAATAAAACACTTTGTTATCAGTTTCTTTTCTAAAGCTTTGGACCATGGCAATGCATAAGTAATTGTTATTGTTAATTGCTATGACAACCTGACTACTGTCACAACCTCACACGATGTCAACATTGCTATAAAAGAAACAGGGAAATAATTTGAGCAGTTACGATTCAAAAGTTCAACAATGAACGGTTTTTGAAGAAAATTGAAACATTTTTGGAAGTACGGACAATTCAACAGTAGATAAGATTAAGAATAAATATAACTTCTAAGGAGGAACCTAAAAACGGGAGATATCAAGGTAGTATGCAAATCATATAAAATTCAATTAAGAAATCTTTTTTTCAGAACCATATGTACATATGCCTAGTTTTTTAGTCTAGATAACATTTCAAATTCAATTTGAAAGAAAAATAGAACTTAAAAAATTATAGTATAATTGTGATTCATAAAAAAAACAAGATATTCTTAAAAATCTCTAAAATTATTTGCCATATCATACCTAATCTTTTCACATTATCATAATCAAGTAGATATTTTCCTATTATAATTAAAATGCACTGTTCAAAATCAAAGTACATGTACAAATGTACATATCAATTAAAATCTTGAAATGACATATTCCAAGTTTTTTCAACTTTTTTTATGAATGTGGAATGACCATTCCTTGAATGTGTTGCTTTTCAAAATTTGCACGAGTTGCAGATTATCGAGTGTTAATCTTAAGAAAAAACGTCTTAAAGGAATGGTCATTTCACATTGCATTTAGTCTTGGGCAAATTTTGCAAAGGTTGAAAAAATGCATGATTTACTTGTGACAAATATGACATCAAATGGGTTTGGCCAATTAGATGTTACTAAAACCAGAACAACGGCAACGCCAAAGCGTAGCGATTCCTATCGAACAGAAACGGCTGGCATTTTTACAAACGAAATATCATAAAATAACACACAAAAGAAAGGCCACCATTTTCAAAATAGTTTCTCACTAGCCAAGTTGTCATCAGAAGAAGTAATATGCTTTTAAGTAGCCACATATAAAATTTTAAAAAATCGCACACACGTACATGTAAATGGTGGCCATTTTTTTAAATGGCCGCCTTATTACCCAAAATGTCATAAGACAGTAAACAATCCTTACGAGTATTCACATATCAAATATGAACAAAATCACTCTCTTTCTGAGTTATAATAAAAAATGTAAAATAATAAACATAAAAACGGTGGCCACTTTTCAAAATGGCCGACTACTCCCCAAAGTTTTATTAGACAATGTGCCATGCTTAAAGTATTCACATATCAAATATGAACAAAATCGCTCCAATACTTTTCCAGTTATAGTAAAATATAAAAATGACAGCCATTTTTTAAATGGCCGCCTACTACCCAAAATGCCATTAGACATTGTGCCATGCTTAAAGTATTCACATACCAAATATGAACAAAATCGGTCCACTACTTTTTGAGTTACAGTAAAAAATGTTAAATAACACACGTAAAAATGACAGCCATTTTTTAAAATGGCCGCCTACTACCCAAAATGCCATTAGACATTGTGCCATGCTTAAAGTATTCACATACCAAATATGAACAAAATCGCTCCACTACTTTTTGAGTTACAGTAAAAAATGTTAAACAACACGTAAAAATGGTGGCCATTTTTCAAAATGGCCGCATACTACCAAAAATTATATTAGATGTTGTGCCATGCTTAAAGTATTCACTTACCAACCAAATATGAACAAAAATTGCTCCACGACTTTTCCAGTAACAGCAAAAATCGTAAAATGACCTGCAAAGGCAGCCATTTTTCAAGATGGCTGCCATGTATTTCTTCTATATTTACATTTCTAGCTTAATCAATGTTCTATATAACTTTCTTACATTTAAAACATATGCCTATTACAGTTTTATATGCAGAACCTAAATTCCTGTAAAATCAGCACTAAAATGGCTGCCACTTTTAAATGAGCGGCCATTTTGAAAATCGGTTTTCGAGCAGAACTTCTACCCCCATTGGGTATATGTGTACAAAATATGAACAAAATCAGGCCGACAGTATTTGAGATATTGCCCGGACGGACAAATGGACGTCATTTGTTGTTGCTGCATTAGTGTCTCATTCATTGTCTTCTTTCTTTGTCTTGATTTTTACGGACAGACGTACGGATAGACGGACGGACAGAGGCGTTCCCTATATCCCTCCGAACTTCGTTTGATGGGATAATAAATACCAGTCAATACTACATATTATTACCACCTTGCCGGGCCAGTTCTAGGGGTTTTAGTGCTAGTAGGCATTCATTTAACTATATCGACCTGAGCGATATGTGACGTCATAGCAAGGGTCAATATTGCCAGTCTTCGGCCCTCGGTCCAATATTTCACTATATTGCCAGTAGAAATGACGTTATTGTACTATTAAGAAATAATATAAGGGTAAAATGACATACATTTTCATCTTTGAAATTTTGTTACTGGATAATTGTGCACATATATATACATATAAAATATAAAATATAATATGTGAATTTTTTTCATATAAAGTAAGCTGAACTTAATAAATTTTATATGAGTTGTAGACTTTTTGGT